TCTATATATATATATATATATATATATATATATATATATATATATATATATATAGTGACATTCGTTTTACCTTATCTGACTACAATGATGACCGTAATGATGCTCATTTTCGTCATTTACCGATATGATGGTCAGTAATCACATGGCCACAGGATTTCACTTTCGCCTACGTGAGGTGATGACTAGCATTTCCTTGTTCACCTGTGTCTCTACTTACGGACAAGATGAATTTCATCGGCTTTGATTAAAAGTGAAGTCTGTCCTATTCAATCGATTCTGATTAGATCGTACTGTCTGGGAAAGGTTGACGCGCTTGCGAATATTTTACGGTTACCCGTAGGATACTACTCGTCAGGTTACCTATACAATGTTCTTCGTATTGTTACCTGGATTTGGAACCACAAATCAGCCCCAGTTAAGAAATAGTTCGATATAAATTTTGACGTTACGCAACTGTGTGTGAATGATGGTTATAAACTCATCGTTCCTACGGAACTGTGTCGTCTACGAGATCAAATCACGTCTTTTGGATTAGTTCGTGTTGATTTCCAAAGGCTTGGTCATTAGCTTGCTTCAGAAGGGTAGGAAACGCATTTATTCTGACTTAATTTCATTCATTTTTTTCCTGGGAACAAGATTTCATTCAGATTATTTATCCATTTGTTCCGCATTTTACCTGATGTTTGACCCTGGGGCTTTAACCATTAACACGTAATATGTTCCTTTGATGTTCTATAGATATTGCAAGTTACACGTTTGCCCACTACTCACTACGATGCAGTTTATAACAACAACTGGAATCCATAAAACTGGTGATCATTTTACAGCAAAATTCTCTGATCGTTGTCTCAATCACAGTATGCGTGTAAGGTGGTGGCTGAGAAGTGGACCTGTTCTGAGGGCATCCTAAGGTAGAGATGAACCTCAAGGAATACATCTTTCTTTGATATAAAGATTGTTGTACTGCAATATATACATATATATATATATATATTCCAGGAATATAATAGCTGTTATAAGTGTAGATTGGTTTTGGAATCACGAAGTAGTCTTGTAGAAAGAAAATAAATTTTAATCAGCAGTTTTTTATTTTATAAGGGTGATTCCATGTAGGTGATGACTCGCTTGTCATTCCCAAGCCTATGTGCTCACCATACCTAATTCACTCAACATGATTAGGAAACCAGTTTCAAGAAGAACCGAAAACCGGAGCACTTGGATCGGGGCATTGGTTCTGTTTTCTCATTACACACCTAAGCGTGTTGAACAGCGAACCCCATAGTCACGGGGACCTGCTGTTCAGTGATGGTAATCGGTAACCTAAGTCCAAGGAGTGAGTGTTGAGCGACAGAAGGATCGGCATTGTATCGAGTTGGATAACAACTGTGCCACACCGCGATGATCATTTGGGTTGCTATCGGGTCAGTTCACATCACGAAGCCTATTCGACAGTCTGGCGCGTGAATGTTTGATGTATACGCAAGGCTAAGAAACGTACTCCTTCGTTGTTCGTGTTTTTTT